TTGTATATAATTTGTGTCACTGTCTCTAAATTGAACTTGCCTTCATCTATTTAGATGCCATTTAATTTACAAATCTCATATATTTCGTATAAATCAAGGGTGTGACAAAGATACTAATTCATCATCTCTTGGACTATGTTATATTCTATTTAGGAGAGGAAATCATAGCCTATAAGCCACCTGGATTTAGTCTGATGTATCATCTTCTGAATGAGTCACCAATGTTGGAACTTGTTCTTAGTTTACTGGAAGAAGGAGTTAAGCAGCTTGATACCTATGCCCCTTTTCCTGGTATGTGCCTGAAAGTCTTTATGTCTTGAAAACCGTTTTGATGTTTTTATCTTTTGTAAACTGAGAGTTTGAAATAGCTTATCTCTGAAGTTCTTTTTCAGTGTAAGATTCTCTCTGCATCTATAGTAGTGTTTTCAATGAGTCATTTAAATGCGAGTGTATTGTAAATGAAGTAGACTGCAGAGAGACACTCTGACTGCAACTGTGTCTCACTGCAGGGTTTTTATAAATAAAATGATATTGCTGTCACTTTAATGTCTTTAACATAGCTAACTTTAAAGTACTTTTTGTTTTGTTTTCCCCATATTCGTAAAGCACTTACTATAGTGCCTGATACATAGTGTTCAATAAATTTTATTTAATATTGTTACCACTAATCATTATTGAATGTTTACTATACATTTGGCTCTTTTAAAAGCATATTGCATGTTTTAATTCAGTCAGTCTGTTCAAAAGCCCTATGTGGTACATCTTGTTATTTCCATTTGACAGGTAGGGAAACTGAGGCACAAAGTGGTAACACTGACTTTCTGAAGTAATCATCAGAGCTGGGATTTGAACCTAGCCAGTTTGACTCCAGAGCCCGTGCTTTTTACCACTATGCTTTATTGTCTCTAGTTAATGTGGCTGTGATCTAAGTGAGAAAAGACAGATTTTAAACATATGAATTATAACTGCATAATCAGAATACACAGATAAGAAATCATGGAAAGAATTAGGCTAGAATTTTAAATTTGAATGGTGGGATTATAGGTGATCCTTATCTATATTTTCTGCTTCTTTGTTTTCCACCATGGTTGGAACTTACTCTAAATCAGAGTTCCTCAACTTTGGCACCATTGACGGTTTGGAACTAATAATTCTTTGTTGTGGGTAATGACCTGTGTGTTGCAGGTTTCTATGCATTAGATCAAGGGTTCCCAACCTTTTTGATACCAGGGACCTGTTTCATGGAAGACAATTTTTCTGTGGGCTGGGGTTGGGGGATGGCAGGCGAGAGGAGGATGGCGAGTGATGGTGAGTGATTGTAAATACAGATGAAGCTTTGCTCCCTTGCCTGCTGCTTACGTCCTGCTGTGTGGCCCAGTTTCTAACAGGCCACAGACTGGTACTGGTCTGCAGCACTAGATGACAGTAGCATTTCCTCAGTTATGACAACCAAAAGTGTCTCCAGACATTGTCACATGTCCTCTGGGGCCAAATCACCCCAGTCTGAGAACCATTGCTCTAAATAATCAGGGATAAGATAAAGGAGAAATGACTCAAGAAGCCATTCCATGAAAGTAATCTAGGTCACAGAAATAACCATGACTTGCATAGGTGAACAGTTTTGTGAAGTTGCTGCTGAAAGTTTGAAAAAATGAGTGTCTTTTGAATCTAAATCTTGTCCTTTATCTTTTTTTTC